TCTGCCAAATGAAAGAGATAATCAGAATTAAGGTTTCCGTGTCGGTACGATGTTCACAAAATAAAGTGCATACAATTCTCGAGTTTGTTTTGTTAGTGTGGGTTCAACTTATCCATCTGTTAGCCAAATGGAAATTAATATTGTTTTATTAGGCATTAGCTCCCCGAAACCGCGGCTCTGTAGTACAAGTAGCAAGCAGGGAGGAGGTGACAAGCAAGGCTACCGCCAGCTTCCTGCTGGCTAGTTGCTTGGCTTGCTCTTCAACTCTGGAGACCGATGTTCCTTCGAAACGTCCTTGGCTTTCTACCGGACTACACTGCGTTGCATCACAAACGATTGTGCCCTTAACAATTATTTGAATTCGGAAATTGTGCATAAAATTATATGTATAGAATAAAGAGTTGAACGCCCAGCGTTTCCGGCCAATATTGACAGTTATTTTTACAAGATAAAACTTCACCATTTTTTAATTGGATACAGTAGGATATAATTGCTTCGCTATATGTCCGCCATAGGCTATTTGTTGGGTTATCAATGAGTGGTGAGCGACGATTTATCGATTATCGTAGTTCATTAAGGATGAATACATAATGCATTATATAGGAACTCTTTTAATTACCCCTATTGTTTGTGTAGACACTGACGATGACAATACAAAAAATTCCACTGTACAGTTTTACATTATGCTTTTTCATTTCATTTGGCAATAAAATATGGACACCCCTAGCAGTACTCCCGGACGCGTCCTGATCTGTCACGCTGGGCTGACACACAGCGCCATACAAAACTTGAAGCTACAACCCTGAACGAGGCAGGAAGGGAAGGAAAAGGAAATGTCAAACTTTTCTTTTCTCGCCAGCCTTTCTCAATGCACCAACAATTCTCCCGCAATCAGTTTTACCGAAATACAGGCCACAAGGTATGACCCATGACTCCCATCTTCCTCTACAATTCCAGCAAATTGTTCTTTTTTATTTCTGTAATTTTACAGTGTTGATCATTATTAATGTGGAACATTGTTGAGGTATTGATTTTTTTTTTGTAAAATTCAAAGTGCACACAACTTCGCTATTAGTTGAATATCAAAGTTGTAATTTTAACTCCAAGTTACGCTAGAACAGAGCATTATTTGCTGTGAATTTCAAAGGTTAAAAATGTTGAATGCCGGTCACGGTAGCCGAGCGGTCTGAAGCATGTACTGTCTTCGCTCGCTTGGAAACCGGGATCGTGGTTTCGAATCCCACTCAGAGCATGGATGTTTAGTTTGTGTGTGTGCGTTTTTCTGTGTTTGTGTACAGGTAGAGGCCTTGCGACGAGCTGATCACCCGCCCAAGAAGTCCTACCGAATGCGTAAGATCTAGAAAAACCGAAGTGAACGGAGAAGTTCATGGAGGTAGGCCTAGGCCCACTGGGGCTGTAGTGCCAAGGAGAAAAAATGTTGAATATCGTCTTGAACGAGAAACAAACAATTTTTTGCAAAATCTGTAAAACTCAAAGTGCCCACAACTTCGCTATTAGTTGAATATCAAAGTTGTAATTTTAACTCCATGTTACTCTGGAATAGAAAATTATTTTCTATGAGTTTCAAAATTTTCTGAGCTTCCCCACCGGAGATATGAGGTGTTAAAAATGGTCGATTTTGGGCCCAGAGCAAAGTTCGGAAGCTCCTGGAAAATTTTGAAAAATAGGTACGGGGTTCAGAAGTACGTGATTATATTCCCAATATAGGTAACAACAAAGGGCTAGAAACCATAGGTCTGATACTTTCCCCCTCCCATTGGTTTTTGAAGGTCAAAAATGGCGTTTAACCCAAAATCGATAGGTAAGTTCTGATCTTAATTAGACCTCGAAGAAATGAGTTGAGTCAAACCTTGTAATGCCATGATTTATAGTCCATATCATGAGGAACAAAGTGTGTTTTCAATGAAGTCTCTATCTTCAATAGTTATCGAGATATAGAAGATAACGCAAACCTCCATTTCAGCCGAGAACGCGTTTTTTTCGTATTATAAAAACGGCTGTACCGGGAGAACCGAGCGGATTACAATTAAAAAAAATAGTTCCCAAGTGTGAAAATATGTAGAAATAAGTGTACAAAATATGATTTTTAAAAAAAAACGGTGAGCCACCTCTCTGGATGACTTCACATGGAATGACCCTTAACAGAATTAAACACATCCTGAGAAAATTATGTGTCATTGTTAGTCCATTCTGAAATGTGTTTTCTATAAATGTTTATGTCCTCACTTCTTTTGTAGTCTGACTTGCTTTAGGGAGGTAACTAGTTTGAATCTTGGAAGGTTATTTTCTGTATTTAACTGATATTTATCCTACTTTTATCATGTCTCCCGTTTATTCCTACAGAGGTCAAGCCACTTTAATCTCCGTTTCGTCTCGTCCCACTTCTGACACNACATCACTGTAGTTGTTAATTGATCAGATTTTATATTCATGACATTGTAATGATATTGTAACGTGTTTACGTTACAGAATACGCCGTAGAGATGGTTAATTGGGTCTATTTAACAATCTACAAATAACGGCTATAATTAATGATCACAATATTACGGGTTTCCACACTTTACAAACCCTACAACAAAATCTCTTAACACAATCTTCACTTGTCTTCACGTACTGATAACGCGGGAGCTATACAAGTCTCCCTGAAATACACACTCCGAGTATAACTGTACTACAGCAATCACTATGTCTGGAAGGCACACAATAAGTCTTCCGCTCGCTGACTTCTCAGTTATCGCACACTCGCAGGCTGCTATGTTTCAACTCAACTGGTAGCTGCTGTGGAGGCCACTTATATAGCCTTGCGCTGTTGCTAGTGTGACGTGGCGTATAGCCTAGGACGCTGTTGCTTAGCATTGCATAGTTACCAGGTTACGGGGGCTCGGCTATCTTCGGCTCCGCTCGGCTCTCTTCGGCTCCGCTCGTGACGTCACCGCGCGTTGCGCATTGCGGGGTGATTACTCGCCTATTACGCGAGCGCTAAGTTACCGCTACGTGGAGCTGGGGCGGTAGGGATCAACATGTCACGGTATCATTTACAGTTGTTATAACACGACATGCTGTATCCTGCTGATCATGTTAAATCATTTCTTATCGATCACAGCTTGTAAACACTGGTCTAAATTATCTTCCGTTTACTGAATACTACTGCACAAAGGCATACGTGTTATTATCCGTCGTTAGATTTGTAAAGACCAAAATTCAACCCACATTTATTGTGCAGTTGGCAGTCCGAGATCTGATTTGGAAACCCTAGAACCCCAAGCACTAACTCGACGAGAACCAATACGCTTCATAGCTCACTTATGCATTAACTCGGTTCCACTCCCATATGAAAGAGAAGGAACTGCGCTCACTCTATGCAATATTAATTTTGTCTCCTTTCCTTCGTGTTCAGTTAATACTGTGTTATTGCTGGAAGGCAACTCATCAGTCAGCATGGATGGAGTTTCACAATCGGTCTGCCTTACTGCTGGAGGCGGTTCGGGAAGTGATGTGAAGCAAGAACATTAATACAGCGTTCTATTTCCAACCGTGTAGGAGTTACAGACGTATTATTTGCGCGAAGAAGACAAATAAGTGTATTAATTATTTTATTAGATAACTTTTAAGATATTTAAGGCGATTAGTAACCGGCTACCCACAGCGACGACCCGGGTTCGAGCACAGATCAAGTCATAGGGGATTTATGGTGGACAAAATGGCGCCGGAGAAGTTTTTTCTGAGTACTTCGGTTTCCCCGCCCAAGTCTCATTCCATCCTCTGCTCGACATTCATCATAATATATTAACAGGAGCCGGTACAATAGGCCAATTAGTGGCCGAAGTACCAAGTGGACTCAGTCTCACTCCACCCCAAGAAACTTAAAAAGGATAATTTTTCAAGGTTTTTGCCTCAGCGTCCAGTTACAGCCTTGCTCAGTCCAAACAATAGTTTACTGCCCGTCGTATAAGTAGCGGTGTTCTCCTATGTAAGCAGCGGCATTCATAATTCGAACGAAGAGTTCCATTCTCGTCTGTACTGTGGTTTTGTACGCCGTCGCTTTCATAAATGAATCGGGGCGAGGTCCGGAGATCTGGGGGGCCAATCTGCTGAGATTCGTGAAGCTTATTCAAGTAAGCCGTAACTTAGAGGCCAAAGGGTGGAGGCGCACCATCAGCCTTGTCTCGAGAGGGACGTCCTCCATTAGAAGCAGCCCTTCTTTTTCAGCAAGCAGCAGTTAAACGCTGTTCCAAAACGAATGATCCAATTTAATATCTTCAATCAATTACCTTGAAGGGTCTATGTCGGAAAGTGCTCTCAGCGGCACCGTGGAATGGTTATAGATGGATCACAACTGAGAATTTTGTATGTTTTTTTTATTGCTAGTTGGGTGGGACTAAGTCCCTTGTACTGCGGCCACTTCTGGCCTATTGTACCAGCCTCAGATGATAGGTGAGGGTGATTGTGGAGAAATTGGTGGAATGAAGATTGGAGGGGGAAACAGAAGTACTCGGAGAAAATCTGCCCCAGCGCAATTTTGTGCACCACAAATCCCACATTACCAGACCCGAGATCGAACCAGGGGCGCCGCGGAGAGAAGCCAGCGACTAACCGCTTGAGCTATGGCTCGGCCCATTTCGTATGTTACTAATTTACATGTATTCCGTTTGAGTTGCGGCGATGAACAAGTGGTAAGCTACAACATTGACCATGAAGAAGGTAATCATCTGCTTGAACATCTTGCACACGTTGCCTTCAACACATATGCTTACCAAAATGGCAGTGAGGATTCTTGGTCAGACATCCTTGGGTAACTGTTTGTAGGGTTACGTTATACTATGTCCAGTATGCAACGGGTCAACATAATGTATTCCAAAAAATGTGTTGTCCTCACCCCTAGATCCCTTCAAAGAGCGTATTTTTCTTTCAGGGCTAAAATCACATATAAAGATTTGAAAGATTATTCTTTATAATCCTATCGCAGTAATTTGTTAATGTTATTATTTAATATTTCTTACTTTTATGCAGCGTTTCTTTAATGTGGCTATGAGCCAACATAACATGACAGTATATAACAATCACTAATTCATCGAACATTACCCAAAGTTGCAGAAAAATGCGCAATTCTAAGTATTAAACTTAATGTTAAAAATTGTTAAGTCTTGAAATCAAGAAATGCAACGTTTTCTTTACATAAAACTTTTGCAGATATTTTCAGCTCTTTCAGTTTGTGATATTTATAAGATTCCTTATGTCGGTCTGGTCCTCTTCAGCTGAATAATTTGCTTGTTATCAATCAATGTCCAGTTTCTTGAACGAACCTTCCATGCCGAATACGTCCCCCGCATTCTTTGGGTTCCCTAGTCTCTTGGATTCGTCCACACGGAAAGCTTCTTCCTCCTTGAACCAGTCCCTGTAACGCTTCAGCAGTTCCACCGTCACTTCTGTGAGAAGACAACGCCAACAGTTAACAGCATCACCCTTTGCAAACACAACGTGAAATACATGAGTCTAATTAAGCAGTGTGCCGGGAATAATGCAGTACGAAAGACGAAAGCCCCTCTTTGACTGCGTATGCAGTTGGAAGATGCAATTTCCTTCTGTCTCTTTTGGCTTCAATGAACGTAAAGGTGCGGTGTTTGTGTCCACACTGACATATTTACTGTGAAATTAGTGACAGTGAACAGAATCACGTGAAGCGAACTTCTAAACCTGGAAATAATAGATATAACTAATCTGTACTAGAAACTAGGGAACCTAATGTCTATTGTTCTGTTAATCTTGTTGAGTACTGCGTATAGTAGCTGCTGTGTCCTCTTTTGATTTTAGTGGGCTTCCTAGTAGGTATTTGTGTGCATTACTGGCCCACTGAGTCTTCAAACAGGAGGGTGCGAACAGGGGAGGGACGTGAAATGTTATTAGTCTGCACCGCTAATAGAATAAGGGGGGGGGGAAGTTACCATCGCCGCAGTACGCAGGCAGTTTCTGTCACCCCTCTGAACTGTTACTGTGTTTGTGAAATTTCTTATGTGAAAAAAGGGTAAAGCTCTCCCTGCGCATAACTAATTAAGCACTACGCCATGAATGCTTATGAGGCAATGTATGTATAGAGCTAGGCACTACTTATAGGTGATGGGTCAGCTTCATGCCTCGGCCGCTCTATTCCAGAGAAAGAGCCCCAGGTATCTATTGGATAGTTGGCTGCGTGGGCACCAGAAACGGTCTGGACGACATGGAAAAGAGAAATTTTCTCCCTTACCGGGAACCGAACTTCTTAAATACTACCTTCGTTTTCAAACGCTCGTTTCACACTCTACATGGAGTTACTTAAATGGAAGGGAAATGAAATTAGTTCTCGAAAAGAGATGCATGCAAGCAAAAATGTAGTCATTCTGGCTCATGTCAAGTAATAGCCAGTGTCCAGCATCATACTGGCATAATGCGTGAAATTGTGCTGCAAATCCGTAAGCTAGTCGTTGATCAAATTCCGGCAGAACTTATTCACGTAGGAGGCGAAATATTACGTTCTAAGATCCATAAGCGAATTGTTTCTATTTGGCATAAGGAAAAGTTGCCTCATCAGGGGAAGGAGTTTATTATTGTACCAATTCACAAGAAGGGTAATAAAACTGACTGTAATAGTTATCGGGGAATATCACTGCTGTCAACTTCATACAAAATTTTATACAATATTCTTCTCTCAAGGCTAAGTTCATATATAGATGCAATTATTGGGGCTCATCAGTATGGGTTTCGACGTAACAGATCAACTACAGATCAGATCTTTTGCTTTCGTCAGATATTGGAGAACAATGAGACAGTACGTCAGCTATTCATGGATTTCAAGAAAGCCTGTGATTCAGTTAGGAGGAAAGTATTGTACAATATTCTAATAGAGCTTGGGATACCCATTAAACTAGTAAAGCTGTTTAAAATATGTTTAAACGAAACGTGTACTAAAGTCCGTGTAGGTAAACATTTCAATATTAGAGTCAATTTTACCGACCACACAACATATTTANAAGATATAGGACCGAATAAGTGAGAAGACGAATGTGATTGCGTGTAATTATACAGCTGTGTTCGTACAGCTGAGGATGACCTCTTGAGGTCGAAACATGTAGTGTAATAATAATAAAAATAAAAAGATGTTGTGTGGTCGGTAAAATTGTCTCTAATATTGATTAAATACACAACAGGATGCAAGAAACAATTAAAGGTAAACATTTGTCTGATAAATTTCCTATCCAGAATGGTCTGAAACAAGGAGATGCTTTATCGCCACTTCTTTTCAACTTTACTTTAGAATATGCCATCAGGAAGGTCCAGGAAACCAGGTGGGACTGAAATTAAACTGGAAACATAAGCTGTTGGACTATGCCGATGATGTGAATCAATTGGGTGATAATATAGATATCATAAAGAAAGATACACAAGACTTTAATTGATGCTAGTAAGGAGGTTGGTCTAGCAGTAAACACAGAGAAAACCAAGTATATGTTGCTGTATTGTCACAAAATTCGGGGCAAAATTATAACATAACGATAGAAAACAGATGTTTTGAAAATGTGGCACAGTTCAGATATTTGGGAACTTCGATAACAGATCAAAACCTGATTGAGGAGGAAATTAAGAGGATATTAAAGTCGGATAATGTTTGCTACCATTCAGTCCAGAACCTTTTGTCTTCTCGTCTGTTGTCCAAAAACATAAAAATTAGAATATACAAAACTGTAATTTTGCCTGTGGTTCTGTACGGATGTGAAACTTGGTCTATGCCATTAAGGGAGGAACATAAACTGAGGGTGTTGAGGAGAATATTCGGACCGAAGACAGATGAAGTGACGGGAGGTTGGAGAAAACTGCATAATGAGCTTCATAACTTGTACTGTTCTCCAAGTATAATTAAAATGATCAAGTCAAGGCGGATAAGATGGGAACGGAGTGTAGCACGAATGGGGGAGAAGATAAATGCATTTAGGATACTGGTGGGAAACCCAGAAGGAACGAGACCACTGGGAACACCAAGATGTAGGTGGGTGGATTATATTAAAATGGAACTTAGATACGACGGGATGGTATGGATTGGATTGATCTGACTCGGATAGGGACCAGTGGAGGGCTCTTTTGAACACGGTAATGAACATTCGGGTTCCATAAAATGCTGAGAAATTCTTGAGTAGCTGCAGATTTTGCTGCTCCTCAAGAAGGGCTCAGCTCCGTAAGTAAGTAAGTAAGTAAGTAAGTAAGTAAGTAAGTCGTTGAACTTACTGTGGTATGTAGCCATCGAATC